AGTATCCTCTCAGGCCGGTCAGAGATGTCTTGCACCCTGGCACTGGGCAGGCAACACACCATGCGGGATTCTCTATCCTGCTCGCAAAGGATACTGTCTATCCCCCTGATGATGGAATCCCCTACAACTACAATCTGTCTTTTTGCTCCCCCCTCATGAATGGCCTCCTGGACCATGGTGCCTTGGTCAGTTGACTCATCCTTCCTGCAGCCCTGTTCCTCATCCACACAGGGAGCAAGTGCCTCATACCTGTGGGACAATGTCAAGGGCTGCGGCTCCTGTGTTCCTGTCTGCAGGGTCCCTCTACCTGCCTCACTCGCAGTCACACACTGCTGTCCCTGCCTGCCGATCGAATTAACATTAGTTAATCTACCAGGTGTGACTGCCTCCTGGAACACAGCATCCAGGTATTTCTCCCCCTCCCGGATGTGCCGCAGTGTTTGGAGTTCGGCTTCCAGCTCATCAATTTTGAGCCGGAGCTCCTCAAGCAGCCAACACTTGCTGCAGATGTGGTCACTGCCATTCTCAATGGGATCAGCTAGCTGCAACACATCACCTGGCCTGCCATCTCTACTTAGTTAATTATTTAAAATTAATTAGTTTTTTTTGATACCAGTAGAAACTACTACTGGGCAAGTCAGATTCCTGAGGGAAATCTAGCTTGATAGATTTTTTTGTGTTCAGTTATTAACCTGGTGGTTAGTCATTGAAACATTATGTTGCAGGTCTTCTTTAGTACTAGAACAGAAGTTGACTAATAAAAGAATCTTTATTTTCAAGCTATCTAAACATAGAAAATACTTACTAAGATCTAAAACACAAAGCAAAACGAGTTTTTGACCTGTTTTCCAACATTGTCCATTGTAGAGATTCAAGTCCAGAGGAATTGCACCCTCTCTCAACACTTTAGGGTTCTATTTAACTGATTCGTGACAGTTTCATTGCTGCAGAGTGTGGAGACAATTCAAAATCTACCAATTCCAACCTTTTAACAAATCTGAGAGCATAAACTTTCTGAGCTCCAATAACCTGAAGATTTCTAACCAAACTATCCTGGCTTTGAAGTTTCACAAACTAAATCCTTTCTACCTGTTAAGTGACTTGTTAACTGAACTGCCCTGAATCCTTTTAGGAGGGATTTAACTTAGTTCTAAACTCAATCCTGGTGTCTTCCGAACTGAACTAAAATCGTGCTCAAATCTAGATACTTCTGAACTAAAAACAAAGCTAATGACCTTGCGTGTTTACCCTACTTGTGGTAAACACAACAGTATAAGCATCATTCTGTTAACGCCACAAGCGTTTACAGTCACTTGTCATCTGATAATCAGCTGGATTTAGTCACTATTCCTCTATTCCTATAGGGCCTTTTTTAAGCATAAAGAAACCCCTGCAAAGAAGTAATGCCTCTGTTTTGAATTCAAAATTCAAAAACGTGATATTCGTACATGTATATTACACGTCTTTCATCACATGAGAGTATTGATGTTTGTTGAAGTGAAATGTATATGTTTTCATTGTCTTTTTGATTAACACGCAAGAATGAGATAGGTGTAAGAAATTAAACCTTCCTGTTCTGTGGTATGTTAGAATGCAGGATCCAAACATGATATTCCATAGAGATGCCATCCTTAGCCATATAGCGTGGAAAGATTTGTGCTAAAGCTTGTGCTTTCCTCCACACTGAAAAATTAGCCTGAACAAGTATCACAGTGTCTAAACTAAGAGGTAACAGGCAAAAAATAAACCACAATCAGTTCAAGATTAACTCAAGTCCAACCTACAGGCATTTGGAGGAGAACGCATATCTAATTTGCTGTTTGATGGCTCCTTGAAAAGAAGTCATGTGGTAAGCCTCTATGCCATTCCGTGGGATGTTCCTTATAGATGAACATTGGTGCAATACAACCAAATGAAGTCAAGTTTGATCATTGTTATCTCTGCATATGCCAGCTTTATGTTGGATTATAACTAGAGATGGGTCATTGCAGATTTTCATTTGGTTCTTGAATCACCCCTGTGAATACAATTATTGCTGTTAAATGCAATAGTGCTGTGATGAAAGGTGTGGGGTAGAAAATACATAACATGTTTATGTCAGAGTTTTTAAAATAGTGACATTTCGGTGTTGGTTACTTCTGTGAAGGGGTATTGTGAAAAAAAAAACGATATCTAACAGCCCTTCTGGAACAGTGACCTAATCCAGCATATATCAGAGAGCAGGAAACCCCTGCAGTGTCAGTAAAAAAATTGTTTGTACTAAGGTGGTTTATGACACGTGGACTTTGCTTGTTTTTGATTCAGGACAAGCAAGAATTGATTTTAACTTAGGAACCTGGAAGTTGAAAGTTTTTAGGACAGTTCAGAGGAGACCTGACTGGGGTCAGAGTAAGTATAGTCTGAGGTTTTTTTTTCCCAGAGCCATTAAGGGAATAGGTTATCTCAGTAGAAAAAAATTAGTTTGTGCAACTTCCAGACCACAAGTATTTGGTTAGAAATCTGCAGGTCATTAACTGCTGTGAAAGTATGAACTCTGTTTTGTGAGTATTCATTTAAAAAGACTTCATAGTTCACAGGACAGAAACTGGGGCGAATTACTTAAATTGAACTGAATGTGTTGACATAGAGGTGTAATTTCCCTGGATTTAAATTGCTTTGAAGTGATGGTGTTGGGGAATAAGTTGAAACTTTGTTTGCTGGCTGTTTTAAGATTTTTGTGTATTTCAATTCAAGATAGCTTTTTTTTTGTTTAAAGAAACTCTGCCTGTATGATATGGTCTATCAAGCTGGATTGCATTCTGGGATCTGATTTGTCCAGTAGAAACATAACAATGCCTGCTAGCATCTTGACAGCTAATGCTGATTAGGGTACACTTCCCACAGACCATCCAGAGTGTTTTCTTTCTTGCAGTACTGCTGGAAACATAACATACGGTGAATGGCATGTTTCTGAGGAGGCATCCAACATTATTGTTGTACATTTTATAACTTTGATCCATGCAGAGATGGCACTACTTTTCTATTTGTGTAACTTTTACTCATTCATTGGACGAGGGCATCGCTGGCTAGGCAGCATTCAATGGACATCCCTAATTGCCCAGAGGGCAGTTCAGAGGCAACCACATTGCTGTGGGTCTGGAGTTACATGTAGGCCAGACCGGGTAAGGATGGCAGTTTCCTTCCCTAAAGGACATCAGTGAACCAGGTGGGTTTTTCTGACAATCGACAATGGATTCATGGTCATCATTAGATTCTTAACTCCAGATTTTTTTTTAATTGAATTCAAATTCCACCATCTGCCGTGGCGGGATTCGAACATTATCTGGGTCTCTGGATTAACAGTCCAGCGATTATACCACCAGGCCATTGCCTCCCCCTATTTAAAGGTTTTTTTTTATACACACTGCTTTTAAAATATCTATTCCATGCTTCTGTCTCAGGCTTTCAGCCATTTCTACAACTTTGTTTACTTCTCCCTGAGTTCACACCCACATTTAGTAAATCAAGGACATTGAAAATCAACAATAAACAGGCTCACATAATCAAACATAGAAAATTGAATATTACAATTCAGGCATTTTGCTATCACCTATCTTAGTGGTGCTTTGATGGTCTGTTGTGATGATTTCCTTTGGAAATTTGAGCTTCCACAGGCATTAATTATTTACAGAATTGCAGTTTAGTCATGTGTCTGCAGCATTGTACATGAGATTCCTAGTGACTGGTGTACAAACTACCTGTTGTGCAACTGACTCAGCAGTTTCTCATCCCCATGCTAGTCCCATAAAAATAACATAACTTAAAATGTCAGCAGTAAGAAAGCAAATAAAAGGAAATAATTATTCTGAAATAGATTTGTCCTTGCATCTATCTATGTATTTCCATGACTGAACCATAACTAATAAATGTGCAGAGCCTTGTACGGGAACAGCATTTCCCCTGTGATTCAAAGAACTTTAGGTTTAAGATTCACTCCAGACATTTAAGCAGAAAAATCTCCACTGACATTTCAGTGCAGCACTTTCTTCCTCTAAAATTCAGTGTCCTGACACTGACACTTACTAACATTGACATAAGTGATATGCCACCACAGGATCCCAAAAATGTATTTATGCTGATGATGTAGCCTTGCCATCTCAGGCAAAATTTTTCTGGTATATGGAAGCCATTTTAAGCTTTGAACTGTCAAAATCAATTCAACATTTCCTCAAGTTAGGACTGCAGCCAAACCCAGCCAACTCTATTTTCTTCCACTTCTAGCTAACATGATGACCATTCTTGCCACACATTGGCAGGCCTGGCTGGACTTGGCAAATTACCCTTAAATGGTAGTTCAGTCGTAGTTGATTGACCATTTAAGGGTCTTAAATGAATGCAGGACAAGAAGGTCACCAGTGGGTTTTCTGCCTGGAACCTAATTGCCATTGGTGGGATTTGAACCTGGATCCCCATAACATTACCTGGGTCTCTGGATTAATAGTCCAGCAATAATACCAGTAGGTATTAGGCCATTGCCTCCCCTCAATTAATCTGGAATGAAAAGCTGATATCAGAATTGATCACAGGTACCAAATTATTTTAAAAACCCATCTCTTCGCTGGTATCCTACAGGAAAGGAAATCTACCCTGTTTGCTGATTCTGGCCTGTTTACATGTGGCTCCCGATCCTTGGCAATATGGTTGATTTTTAACTGTGCTGTACAAGCAGCCTAATATGCAGCTGTATTGTATTCACCAGCTCCTTCTGAAGGATTATCCGGGATGGACAGCGAGTGCTGACTTGAACAATGATACAAATGTGGTGAATTAATTTTAAAGATGCTGTTAGGGGCTTATTAAGCAGTTAATTGTTTATTCATTAATGAACATGTATTACCTTGATAATTAAGTCCCTTCTTGATTTATTTTTCTTCTGATTTAATTCTTCCTTGTATCAGGAACTGCTTTTGAGATTGAGTACCCTGCAAACTGCTTACTAATAATAAACCACTCTCTCTCAGGTTTTGTGGGGAATGTTTGCAACCCTGCCTCCAAGTGGTATCACCTCTCTGTCCACTTTGCCGCATGCCATTCGATCCAAAGAAGGTGGAAAAGGCCTCTAATGTGGAGAAACAACTCTCTTCTTATAAGGCTCCCTGTCGAGGATGCAATAAAAAGGTACATTAAAGCAAACCACTTAATGTAGTACACTTTAGAAAACAGTTTAAAAACTTAATTGAAAAATGATATCTATGAATGATATCCATTGTATTTATTGTCTATTGAAATTCTAAAACAGCTTGTTATCATGTTCTGTAGAAAATAACCCTCTAATTTATTTATAAGTTTGAAATCGTTCCTTTTTTCTGGGACCTTTAACAATTGTTGACATGTCAATAAAATTACTTTCTTTTTATTTAGATAGTATCGGGCAGGCAATGTCATCATTCTGTTGCTTTGTTGCATTGTGCAGTTAATGTGCTAGTCTGATGTTTCATTTATTGCATGATGGTGTGACGGTGTAAATCCTCTGCTTTTCAAAGGTTTTAATACTGGGCTTTTATCCCTCATTTGATAATTCAGTTTTTATTTAGGATTTATAGCTATGTCGAACCTCTTACTTGCAGTGAAGCTGTGTAGCTCAGGGATGTTAAATCAAAACGTGCTTTGTAGGTAGAGACGAGAAAATCACAGTTGCCAAATTGCTACTTGGGAAATTTTATGACTGACATGTTAAGGAGTCACACTAACAGCATATGCAGATGCAAGGGTGGAGGGTTAGGGGAGAGATGTTTACCAAAGGGCTTGGTGGTGGAAAAAAGCACGGGTTATATACAGCTTCTGGAATGATGATCATTTATTGAGCAATTTTGTTGGAAAATGATGCTCGATAATGCTTAATGAAATCCAGCCAAAAATAATGCTGGATAGTTAAACCACATGTACGTCATATTTGCCTGAGTCTACGTGCCTTGGGCTTTAGGAAGTGAATAAGTGATTCAGGATGGAAGAGATAAACATCTTGCTGAGGTCAAGGACATTAAAGGTTGATACAAAAGCAGTGGTACTGATCATAAGCTACAGAAGTATGGGAAAACCATAGGCTAGATGGATGGGAGTTTGAAAGTACACTGTTAAGTGATTCGGTGAAATTTTTTACTTGAGGTAAACAAAGAACTGGTCAGGTTGGAAAGGATAAGTGATTGTTTTGAAGGGTAGAAGGAACTGGTCAGAGATGGCCTTGGCTGTGATCAAGACTGCAATCTGAAGACCATGTAAGATGGAAAGGTTAAAGGGTGGCTCGGAATATGAGTAGGAGATAAATGGTTTAGAGCAGTAAGGATGAAGTGAGTTGTGATGAAGATTTAGGACCCGTGGTGAGAAGTCATTTTGTGCAGAGGGAGGGAGAACATCTCGGGAGCAACTTTGGATTGAGTTGAGGGATGAATATAAACCATGGAGAATGAGAATTCTCAATGAGATGCATTAAGGGTGGACCAGAGTGAGATGTTCAAAGAAGAAGATACCTGAAGAATATTGAGACCAAAGAATGACTTGGTGATAAAAGCCATGGTGATTTATGTGGTATAGATGATGGAATGCATGGTCAAGCTTTGGGCAAGATGTTGCCATCTGTCTGCTCCATCAGAAGATTCTTGTCTTCACTGCCATGCAGTTGTACTGTCTGCTGATCAATAACCGATTCATTACATCTAGATCAGGGCTGTTTCATCATGTAGATGTACAAGTTGTTACAGCGTGAAGCCTTCACACCACATTGCCATCTTTCCATGTCTGAGTCATTGCAATGGGTTAGCATGGTTATTTATCTGTCTCTTGAATCGTGTGGAATGCGCTGCCGGCAGTGGTAGTGGAGCCAGATACTTTACAGACTTTTGAACGACTCTTGGATAGGCACATGGAGGATAGTAAAATGTAAGGTATGCAGGGTAGATTGATCTTAGTAGGATAATAGGTCGGCACGACATCGTGGGCCGAAGGGCCTGTACTGTGCTGTACTGTTCTATGTTCTATGTCGTCCATGAGACATCTGCCTCATCAAACAGCTGTGTGGTACATTTTTTTCTATTCACTGGTGGAATGTGGGCACCTCTGGCTAGGCCAGCATTTATTGTCCATACCTAATAGCCCAGAGGGCAGTTAAGAGTCACCCACATTGCCATGGATCTGGAGTCACATGTAGGCCAGACCAGATAAGGAAGGAAACTGCCATCCTTACAGGACATTAGTGAATCAGATTGGCTATTCGACAAACGACAAGGCTCTAATGATGACCATAAAACTATTAAATCTAGATTCTTTATTGAATTCAAATTCCACCATAGGCCATGGCAGGATTTGAATACTCCAGAACATAAGCTGAGTTTCTAGGTTAATAGTGTCGCGATAATATCACTAGGCCATCGCCTATACATTTATCAGGGAACTCTCAGTTGTGTTTATGAGGTTAACACATTTGCCATTATTCCTTTGGAAAGGAAATACGACTCTAATCAAGATGTGCAGCTTTCATTTGACGGCAAAGAACCATACCTAATTCCTGAATCAATCATGTAAATATAATGAAGAAATTTCATTTTGAAGTAGTACCTGATAACAGAAATATCATGAATGTCAATTATCAAGGAAGTGGATCTGGTGCATTTCCTGTGCAACGTTTCACTGTTCTTTTATTATTTAAAGTAGGAGACACATAGATGGATAATTGTTAGAATAGGAGTATCACCTGCGTTAATGGCTGCTAACTTAATTGAGAAACCCCCTAACAGCAGAGGCACTAGGCATCTGAGCCTAGACATATTAGTATCTGTTTGCTGTGCCTTAACTGCTGTCTTAAACTTCAAGAAAATTGTTTTACATACCTTATTCTGTGGACTCCTGTGAAGATGGCAACTGTTAACTAGGGTCCCATGACAGCAACATCCTGAGAAGGTACCACCAGATTAAACACCATAAAGGAAGGAGGCTCCGAGAGGCTGCTGCTGCAGAGAATGCGGTGTGGATCCGGCCATTCCTCGTGGCTGCATCCTGGTGCATCCTTCAATTGGGCTGCTTCGGCAGCGGCTTTGATGATGAGGTGGGTCCAGGCCTGGGACTCCTTTTTGGCAGCGGCCTGGGACTCCTTCCGGTGGCGGATTTTTCAACGTCTTCTTGGTCTCCTTATGGTGACAGTCTGTGACTGCAGAGTTTTCTTCAGCATCATAAGGGTTCAGCCTGGGATTCTAATGTTGGAAGTGGGGTTGTGGAGCCCAGAGATGTGAAACAGGCTAATATTCTTATATCTTATTTGCTAATGTTTTAATTTTCTTTCATTTTTTATTATGCTATCATGGAAGGGCTGTTATTCTGAACTTTTTACTTTCTTTTTCTAATTTATTACATTGTACTTTAGAAGGGCTGTAATGCTGGGCTTTTTATTTCTTTACCTTTTTTTTCCCTAAGATTTTTATATTCAAGAATCTGTCCCTGGGTACCTTTGTACCTAAGATGGCTCCATAAGTGGTGACTTGTAAACTTTTCACTACTTGTGTGATTACATGCGACAAAGCTAATTCATTCATTCATTATCCACAAAAAAAGTGAATGTACGAATGGTCAATTGTCATCTGAGTTAGATTCTAATTTATAACATTCTGTGTGAAGCTCAGAATAAGGCCTTTTCTGATTGTCTACTCAAGAATTTTAATTTTGTTATCAGAACAAACTCCAGTTTGCAACCTATTCCTTTACCACAAGTTCAATTGGTAACCAACAGTAAGTTTCACTCCATCTTTCGGGTAGGTGGAGAAATCACTAGGAGAGTTGTTAAATTTTGCAGTTTGTTTGATAATTAATTGAATTTTGTCAGGGTCTTGTACCTGTAGCCACGTAGCGAAATTGTCTTTTGGTTCCTTGTCCTCGAGTAGAGATGGATGTGTTATCAAGCCTCATGTTGTTCGTCATGTGATTGAATTTCAATTAAGTGGCAGATGTAATTGAATGGAATCCATATGCAGTCAAAATTTGCAGAATTTTGGTTCAAGATGACAGCTCAACAACACCTTCTCAACGATAACTGGGAATGGACAATAAAATGCCAGCTAGCCAGTGATGTCCATGTCCCACAAGTGAATAAAAAAAACAAATTTCAATTGAGATATTCGTTCTGACTGATTTTCATCCAAATTTTAATAAGGAGCCACTGTACAATTCATACTGCCTAATGAACGTGCGAAGAAATATGAACTATTTGTAATTTTTCAGATGCATGAAATATTATATGTTTCTTGCACTAGGTGACTCTGGTAAAAATGCGAACTCACATTTCCTCTTGCAATAAAGTTCAGGAGCAGATGGATAACTGCCCAAAGTTTGTACCAGTTGTTCCTACCACACAGCCCATTCCCAGGTAAGGAACCTGCATGTAACTTCAGCACAGATTTTTGAAAATGATCCATGAAAGTTTACAGAATTTTAAAATACCCCAGGTCAGTTCAGAAGCACTGTTTTTGATAATTGAATCTTGAGCATCAGTGATCACTGTAACTCATTTATCATATTCATTTTCAGTCACAATATTGTTTTTCAAGTAGTTGTCAGTACAGAACTTGATTATTCCTGGGGGGGAAGAAAAGAACTGTTTTTTTTGCAGACTCTCTGTCTTGTAGTCATCTGGACAATTAAGAAGAATACCTCTTCAAGGGGAAACCACCATCTGTTATGTAGGAGAGGAGAGCACTGATAGGTTAACAAGTGGACTCAATCAGCACTCTCCTCATGCACACATACTGCACCTGTTTCAACACAAAAAAGTGCTAACTGCCTTCCTCTGGTTCACTTCTCAGGAAAATGCCTTGACCAATCAGAACCAACCTGCCTTGTTTAAAATATAAACAAAGCTTGGTTGTTAACTGTTAGTCATCAATAACTGGTGTATTTTCCTTGCCAACATCTTTACCAATCAGAATCTACTTGCCAACCTCAATACTCTCCTCTTCTACAGTTTAAATTTTGTTTCTCTTAACATTGGTATTTGAAAATTGTCTTGATGAGTTCAGGATCAAAAGCTTTGACAAAGTAAGTCCTTATTTCTCAGCAGTACTCAAACTCTGTACTACCAAGTAACAACTTTTCAGTAAATGGATGATAAACATGTGTACCAGCTTACAGGTAATTGTGATGAAAGAAGAAGAAACTACAGTTGCATTCAACAGGTTACTGGCTAAATTCGTCTCAAATAGAATTTGAGGTAATTAGATTTAGTAATCTATTACAGTAATCTGGTGTGAAGTGAATGGGTGGGTGAACTGATGTTTTAATCTTGCCTGAAGTGTGATGGTGTAATTTTCTACAAATAATCCTCATGGAGAATCTACTAACATAAAACAGCAAGGCTGTGTATGTTTCTTCTTCATACTGTTATACTCCAAATTATATGTTGCACCTGGTACAAAGCAATACAGTCATTTGTCACAGGAACCAAGATGTTACCCGTCAGACCTTCAACGTACAACTGAGAACAATTAAATTCTACTTTTAGCTAATGTAATCGCAACAGCTGGTCTAATTATATTATTCCAAAACATTTTTAATTCTTCTACCTGCCCGTATAGATTTTCCATTAGAGTGAGCATTACAAAATTAATTTGCATTTTCATACTTTCTTTATTGTAACAAAATGTCCCAAAGTTTCAGCAGATCAAATAATCTAATACTAAGCAGTACTAATCTAGTACTAATCCTTAGAGAGTAAACTGAAAATAAATGTGCTGGTAAATTTTGATGTACCTTATAGAGGAAAAGGCATACAATATTTAAATTGAAAAAAGGTGTGAAGAACTTTCCAGAGATTAGCTAGGAAACATAAAATTAAGCTTAATATTTCTTTTCAGGATGGATACTGTTTACATTGTGCTTGTTTTGAGGTCAGTCAAATCAGTTATACTTGAAGTAGCTATTTACTGCTACAGATATTGTAGTTTTTCCTTGTGTTACCTTTCTTTCCTATCAAGGTACAAGACAGAGCCAGTCACTGTTCTTGACCTAGCAAGCTTGCAGGTTACTCATACAGTCATACCGAATAGAAACAGGCCCTTCAGCCCAACATGTCAATGCCGACCAACAAACACCAAACTACACTAATCCCATTTACCTGCACTTGGTCCATAACCTACAATGCCCTAGCATTTTAAGTACTCATCCAGATGCTTCTTAAATGTTGTGAGAAACCCTACCTCCAGCACCCTCTGAAGCATGTTCCATGCATGCATTCCATATCCTCTTGGTGAAAAAATATTTTCTCAAATCGCCTCTAAACCACTTGCTCCTCACTTTAAATTTATGCCCTCTAGTCTTAGACACATTAGCCACACTGAAGAGAATCTCATGATGTATTCTGTTTATACCTCTTATAATTTTGTATACCTCAATCAAATTCCCCCCTCCGCCTCCACTGCTCGAAGGAAAACAAACCCAGCCTCTGCAGTCTCTTATAACTGAGACATTTCATCCCAGGCAATATCCTGGTGAATCTCCTCTACAGTGCGATTACATCCTTCCAATAATGTGGCAACCAGAACCGCAGTCAATATTCCATCTGTAGCCTAACCAATGTTTTACAAAGTTGTAACAAGACTTCCTTGCTCGTATATTCTACACCCCGGCTAATGAAGACAATCATCCGATATGCCTTTTTCACCACCCTGCCTACATTTGATGACACCTGCAGAGATCCAGCGTACACCAATGTCCCTTTTGTTCCTCAGTACTCCTTGGGGACCTACTGTTCATTGTGTATATCCTTCCCTTGTCAGACCTCCCAAAATGCATTATCTCATCCTTGTCGGGATTAAATTTCATCTGCCATTGCTCTGCCCAGTTTACCAACTGATTAATATCAGACTGTAGCCCAAGACCATCTTCCTCATTATCAACAACTCCACCAATTTTCATTTCACGTGCAACCTTACTAATTATGCCTTCTACACTTATATCCAAGTCATTAATGTAAAACAGCTAGGGTCCTAGCACCGATTTCTGTGGTACACCACTGGATGCAGGCTTTCAATTCAAAAACAGTCCTCCACCATCAGCCTTTGCCTCCTATTGGCAAGCCAATTTTGGATCCAGTTTGCTAACTTGCCTTAGATCCCATGGGTTCTTACCTTTGGACGAGACATTGTGGGACCTTGTCAAAAGCCTCACTGAAGTCCATGTAAACCACAACAACTGCATTACGCTCATCAATATATTTAGTCACCTTTTCAAAAAAATTCAAGTAATTAGTCAGACAAGTTCTGCCTCTAACAAATCCATGCAGACTATCCTGATCAGTCCTGCCTCTCCAAGTATTGATTAATGCTGTCCTTTAGAATTTTTTTTCAAATAATTTCCCTACCACTGACATCAGACTAACTGGTTCATAATCACCTGGCCTATCCCTGCTGCCCTTCTTGAACATATTAGCTATCCTCCAGTCATCTGGCACTTCGCCTGTGGCCTATATTAAATATATATGCCAGGCCCCAGCAGTCTCCTCCCTTGCCTTGTTACTTTGCTAAAGATATGTATACAAATTACAAAAGCAAATTTTGTTTTCCTTCAGCAATATTCCAAACCGTTCCACATTCATCTGCCCATACTGTGGCGCACGAAACCTTGACCAACAGGAATTAGTCAAACATTGCATGGAAAATCATCGTAATGATCCCAATAAAGTGGTAAGTGTTCGATTTCTGATTTCATATCCATTCCAGGATAAACAGTGGGGTTTCCAGTATAATTGAAAGTCTTTGGCAAAACGTGTACTTTCTGTTCACAAGCACTATTTGTGTCGTAATTTTAATCATTCTTTTGTATCAGTGTTGACTATTACAACCTACTATGTCAGTATTTCCATTTGATTTTGCTGTCAGTTGTAGGGTAAAAAATACTGCACCCTTGATGACTCAGTTGGAATAGGTTTCCACAATGCAGTGATTGTAATGATGTCAACCAGCTGGACCTCAAAGAATATGAGTTCCCTGATTGGGACTAATAAATCTGGTCCAAGCAGGGAGTCATGGCTGACATAAAAAGAGGGAGTGTCAGAGATACTGCCACTCTGGTGCCTCATTGTGCATGAGGCAATGCTATAGTCAAGGACTGCTCATGTGTAAACAAAAGGTGACTCAGTGACAGAATACTGGCCTATATGGAGTTATTTCACAGTCTCTTTAATTGATTGTTATCTTCAATTTCAAAAACCTTGATATATTCATCAACCGGTAGATGATGCCACAGTATCTAAAAATGATTTCGCCAACATTGGCTCCCTTTGTTAGGAATTTTGATTTTTAAAAAATGCTATACATTTTCTAAAACTTATAAATGAAAGGTGAACCAAGATTGAAGCCATTTCCTATTGTTACCTTAACATATCTCAGTTTATTTGAATAAAATTTGTATTTACAAAAACTTCTCCTATTGAAAAAAAAGGAAACATTGAAGAACCGGGGAAGAGATGACAATACATATTTTCATGGTCAATTGTTGAAAACAAGAGAAGTGGGTTGAGGAAACTGCATGGCATGTTGTACAGCCTATGCTTTGGGAGTGTCTCTTTCAATACAGCAAACCCAGCATAAGAGAATAACAAATCTGAAAACAGACTGATATTTATTACTTCATCTTCTACATACTTGATTTTGTTTTTTTTAAATCACTTATTTGAATAGGTATGTCCAATTTGTGTGGCAATGCCTTGGGGAGATCCAAGTTACAAGAGTGCCAACTTCCTTCAACACCTGCTTCACAGGCACAAGTTCTCCTATGATACATTTGTGGTGAGTGTTAGTTCTTGAGCATAATAGAGAAATATTTTCTCTACTATAGTAGCTCAATTTGTAATTCACTGTCCAGCAAATAAATTCATTGAGCGATAGAGGTCAGAATGCCCCACTCCTGATTGACTTCTGGCAAGTGCATGAGCGTGTGAATGCCAGGTGAGGAAGACTGGATTTAATTTGTTCCCACTTGGATGATCCACCTCAACTCCACTTTCTCAAACTATCCCCATGTCATTTAATTCCCTTAGTACCCAAAATTCTGTTTTGCATTCACTCAACAACTCAGCAGCAAAAGCTCTCCAATGTAGAGAACTACAAAGATGCTCAACCCTTTGTGAAGAAATTTATCCTTGCTCCTGAATGACCAGTCCCTTCTTTTCATATTCTCTGACACCCTATTTTATATTATCCAGCCAGTGAACTATCACCTTCATAGCTATCTTGTCAGTTTCAATTAGACCATTTCTTATTCTTCTAACTTGTAAGGTGTATACTGACAGACCTGCTGAGTATATCTAGCATGTTTGGTTCTTGTTACTATTTTGTACAACTGGGTGTCAGCAATATGCTACACTGTCTTAGAAAACATTAGGATTTTATAAATTATTATTGACTAATTATTCAGCAAAACCTGTCCTGATTTATTTCATTCCAAATAATACCAAACAGTTAAATTTAGGTTAACTACAACTACTTAACTTGAATATTTTTGCTATTTGTCATTTCAGTAAAAAAAAAGTTATTGTTTGCATATTTACAATTTTCCTATACTGTAAATCATGAACAGATACCATTACATATCTTTATACAGTTGATGCTATGTGCCCTGTCATTTTAAAAGTGCAGATATGTTATACTGTAAATCATGACCATTGTTCATTTCCAAAGAATGTTTTACAATGTAGCATTTGTGCTGTATTATAATTTAAGATATTGTACTGTTTTATACTGTATATTCCATTGATATCTGCACATGAGCTTTCTCATGTGCAGAGCACAAGTGAGACTTTCTTAGGCACAAACTAATTGAAGAATTCTATTTATTCTGTGGAATTTAATGTTTTTGAAAGTGAAGAAAACAATGGTCATTTGTTGTTTTTGTCCTTATGAGACACAGACACTTATTATGGAAGCAAGTTGTAGTTAACAATTTGCTCAGTGTAATTCAATTTTTAGATTTACATAAATGAATTCAAACATTGGGAGTTGTGAATACGGCGGTCATCTCCACAATAAGTGCTCACGTTTTATTGTCTAAATTGTGGGTTATCCTACCTTTTTCGTACGATGACTTTCATTATCTAGTGAATTAAGGCTAAGAATAAAACCAAGCATGCAGCTGTTTGAGTACAAAATATTTTGTTTAATAAAGTTTATACTTTACTGGACTGTAATAATTTGCACTTTTAATATTCTATTATTTGTTGTAGGATTACAACATTGATGAAGATGCGGCATTACATGCAGCAATAGCACTTTCACTCACAGAGAAATGAAGCAACTGCCTGCACAGAGATCTAAACAGACATCCTTTGTACAGGTCACCTTCTGTCATCTGGCGAAGAGAGTGGCAACTTCCCAGCATTCTGTAGGGTACTATCATCCTCTGCACACGTCACCTTTTCTCATCTGGGCAAAAATAGTGTCTTCATCCCAACATTCAGTAAGGTGCTGTGTTCCTTGGCGCAGGTTATTTTTCTCACCTGTGCAAAGAGATTGCCAATTTCTTAGCATTCTGACAGATACTATCATCTTCTGCACAGGCCACCTTCTCTATCTGTGGATAGATAGTGCTCAATTCTTAGTATTCAATAGGGTGCTATCAACTTCTGAATAAGTTAACTTCTTGCACCTAGGCACAGATCATTTTCACTTCTCTGCATTCGAGAGAGTTCTGGTAACTCAGTTAGTCAAGTAACCAGTTGTGTAACAAGTTTATTTGAAATCATTAGTGTGTACCTGGACCTTTTGTTCAGTTTAAATTTGTTCCTACATTTTTCTATGTTACAAATATTGTACATTGTGGGGGTGCCTGTGTCAAAGAATTGTTTGATTTACAGTTTGTGTTTTTAATGTTTGAGGTCGTTTTGCATTGTAAGAGATAAAGGCATATTTTTAAAATGATACAGGAAAGACTAGAATACTATAGAATCAAGTGAAGAAACCTTTCACCAGTCCTATGTATCATTTATGTTGTTGCTAATCAGAGCTCGAATTTAACAGTTAGCAGATGGTAAATTTAGTGGGAGATGTTGTAAACAGAGAGGTGGCAGAGGGGCTTGGATTTTGCAGTTGCAGTTATAACTAAATTGTCAACATTCAGTGTCAATATAATTGTGAAACTATCAGCAACTACTGGTGTTGCCACATTTGTAGTTAAATGTGGGAAATCCAGAAGCTGCTGTCAGTGATTTCCTCATTTTTCTACAGGGCACACTGTTGAAGTACCTGTTGGAGAGAAATCTTCAGAGCCCACTTTAGAAATTACATGAACTTACACTTTTATGTTATTGGTCCTGCTGTATAAAGCACTGCTAAAGTTATACCTTGTGAAATAATGTGTAATTGGCTTATTAATGATGTACTCAGTTCATAATCATTGCTGAACACCTTCTCTGGCCTGAAAAGTACTCACGGAAATGTTCAATTTATCCATTATATAAATTATAGACATGTGAAATAATTGTTTTTTTAAAGTTTATATTTCAGCTTCCAGTTTAATCTCATGTGTATATCTCAACCTTTATTTTGTCGTTGATAAATTGATTGGAAAGTAAGGGATAATTACTGGGTTTGCTGTCTGAGGGAATTCCTCAGTGTGATAGCCTACTTGGTGTCATCACTACTTCTGATTGTTGGAAGTGTCTTCAAGTTAACAGTGAAAGGAATGTCAACAAAAGGCAGATCTAGCTGTATAAGTTGTTACATCTTTTCCAATGGCAAGGGACATGCTTTTGTCAACCAGTTACAAAGTCCAGACCAGTGTGTTTTGTAGAGGCCTGTGTCTGACTATATATAGCCATCTACAGTGGATAATGTATTTTCAGTTTCATATTTAGCCTACTTAATGTAATCTATTGAAAATATATTTAGAAAATGGGAGACAAAAATTGATGATTTAACTCTGATTTGTACTGGCCTGTGTATGAATTACTAGATGCTAGAACTTTAGTGGTTCTTTAGAATATTGTTTGTCTTATCTAATTCTTCGAGGTAACACATTATTACAATTAATTTTCTACCTCAGAAGAAATATGTACTTTACAGCATTCTAATTGGCTCAATAAGGTTCATAGGAATTGCTTTAAAATGGGACAGGCTAGGTATTCTTAACTATTTAAGTACCGGATGGGTACAAAGTGCTGGCTTTTCCAGCAACAGACACACAAAGAGATACGCTGGGTCACACACAACAATAAAACAAAAATGCAGTGACAAAGAACTTTTTTTTTCATAAATAAGAACAGAAAGTGTTGGAGAGGTTCAATGGGCTTGGCAGCATCTGTGGAGAGAGAAATAGAGTTAACATTTTGAATCCAATGTTTTTCTTCAGAGTGTAACAGATGGTGAGGGTGCCCAGAGAAAAAGACAAAAGGAGTGCTAATAGTAGTAAAGGAGAGATGTAAACACAGAACAGGTGCAAATAGTCAAAAATAGGTTGACTTTGCTGAAAGCAAACCTATGCAAACAAGATGCTGGTGGGAAGGGATGGATAATCAAAACAAAGGACAGGGTTCATGCACTGAAGTTGGTGAACTCAGTGTTGAGTCCAGAAGTCTGTGAGCTTCACTGGAACACTGCAGATCTAGGACAGAAATGTTAGCATGAGAATAAGATGATACATTAAAACAGCATGGAACTGGAAGATAGGGGTTGACAGAACAGAGTATATTGTGCAGTGTGGTTACCAATATAGAAGAGCCTGCACTGTGAGCAGCAAATTAACCTCTCTTTTCATATAGTCATCAAGGGGTCATGTAGGTCTATTTACTATTTGGCCGTAAGGTCAGTCGTAGCCTTCCAGTGATATTTAAAGATAATTACACCTGTTGATATATTCTCAATTCTCAGAAAACTATTGAGCTCTTTGAATTACATGCCAAAGATGCAAATTGGTGATTTGGTAATTACATGAGACATTTTATTTGACATCACACTATGACAGTATGGGCTGATTAGCAAATACGTTTTGCCTTATTTTCAGAGCATAGTACAGAGAAATGTTACATGTACTGTACACAATTTTGAGACTTTCAACATACCTGAAAACCTCAAAATAAAAGAGGATTTTAATGAAGTAAATCAGCATAGCCCTTTCACTGAAAAAATATTGGGGGCAACATTGAACAGGATCTGAAAATAAACAGAAGAATTGCAATGCATGAATTACCCTGAGGCCATTGCTTCCAGCTCAGGCTACATGCAAACTCTGTACGCTTAGATAATTACAGCATGCAGCCAAGGCTAAGCATATTAAGTGGCTGTATGTCTGAGCAGAGGATTCAAAATCATGAGAGGATAGCATGAGTAAAAACTAGGCTATCCTACTTGAGACAAGTGTGCACTTAGTATTACAGAATCTCTACAGTGAGGAAAGAGGCCATTTGGCCCATTGATCCTGTACCAACCCACTGAAGAACACTGCCACCCTATCCCCATAATCCCACATTTACCATGGCTAACCGACCTAACCTGCGCATCTTTGAATGGTGGGAGGAAATCAGAGCACCCGACGGAAACCCATGCAGATACAGGGCGAGCATGCAAACTTCACAGGCAACTACTAAAGGCTGGAATCAAACTTGGGTCCTTGGTGCTGTGAGGCAGCAGTACTGACCACTGAGCCACCCTTCTTTAAAGGGAGGTGCATGTGGCTGACACTGTTGCTGGAATTTGTTTAACAAGTGATTTTTGCCATGGCAAACACTCAATATTGGCACATGGTGACAGAAAGTGGGTTCCAAGACTTGCTGATGCTGAACAGAAGGCCTTGATAGAGAACAGGAAAGATGTGAATTTTCGATAGGACTCAGAAAGCTCTCAAAACAAACTTTGCAAAGGCAATTGGACCAGATTGCTGTGGAGGTCCATGCCAGGGGTCAATAAACTGGCTGCAGTTCCAAAAAGGAACATGTAATGACATCAAACCCTGGGTATATTCAAATACTAGACCAAATCACAGAGGAGTTGGTGTCTGGCAATCTGTGCTTCAAACACACAGCTGAGATACCACCCCAATGGTGTGGCAGTTCTTCTGTGTAGAACAAATCTATTGTCCTGTCTCATGATGATAGCTTATATCCTCAGATCCTTGTCTCCACCAATGGCTTTGCTTGTTGACAGTCAATCCACCAGGCAGACTACAATGACCCAAAGCTAGAACAGAGAAGGCCAAAACTGCTGAAGCTCTTGCTGCCAATCCCTCTGCAATGTCATCACTGAAATGCAACCATCTTGCACCAAACATGCAACAGCCACTGAGTTAACAATGTCTTGGACTACTAGAACAGAGAAAGGTGCAAGAAAAGTCAGCACCTAAGAGAATGCACAAGGGAAATTAGCGTGGCATGGTTTAATTTATAAATTTAGTTTGGAACGTTTATTTTGCATTACACCAGGCAGGCACTGTGATGTTATGCTCATTGGTAGAGGGAACATTAGATATAAGACTGTTGGTGAATGGGGAATTGGGCTGGTGGTTACTGGTATCACAGACCACTGAGACTGTAGTAGTGGTCGCTGTCTTTCTCTTGCTCCTCCACCATCTCACTGGTGTACATTTTACCCATGGCATGGGTTATATTCTAATGATGGTGAGGTTGTGCTCCATGTAGCATATTGCTGAGTTCCGCTAATCTCCCCCACAGAGGTCCAAGCTCTAGTGGCATTGGGTTGAATTTTCCTGCTCATGTGATGATGAGCTTGGAGGTGGGGTATCCTGGAGAATTGGGGAGAGGTACATTGAGACATACCTGCGTCAACAAGTTAATCTTATGGATAGATAAGAACCAGGAATGGCTGACTGCCCCATTGAACTGAGCAATAAACTGACTTGTTCACAGATCCAATTTTCCAAGTGTTCAGGCATTCTACAGCTAGTAGCACAGTTCCCCTCCCTGATCCTTTGCTACATATGGGGGATGTTCAGTAAAAGAGACTAAACTGAGCCAGGCCAGGAGCTATTGGAGAATCATGCCCCAAAGAGTAGACCACCAGCAAATGGTCCAACATGCTGCCCCAACACTATACCTCAAGTGGACAGTGGTTTTGCCACTGGTAATTTTAACTTAGGCCGCCTCCATGTTGAAACACCCCTGCAGTGCCCACTTCTCCTGCCAGGTTTGCTGTGACTACAAAGCTGTGGCTCCTCTGGTTGGGCTAGTGGATCATGAACCTGTATGTGATCCATAATCAGATGGTGATGGAGGCAGCCATGTGGGAAGATTATATCATTGAATGCTGTCCCGGGCTTTGGCCTCCATTTGATCCTGAATCAAGTTCCCAGAGCTCTTGGGAAAACAAGGTTCCTGTACAGCAAGGTGTGTTTTAAGATATTTCATGCAAGCTGCCGATTTTGAGCTTTGGTTGTGCAATAACTTGTCATATAGTAGCCATCCCTTGGTTATAATAACTCAGACCAATGGCAAAGTGGACTTCTGCAGAATGAAGCCATCAAGGCTCAATTGTATAAGGACTGGGGGTACCGCTCATTCATGGGAAGAACTATCAATCCCAAAAAGACTGACCACTGAACAAGGTCTCCCCATAGCAATAAATTTGTCCAGACAGCCTTGATGAATGAGGGTCTGACTTCTGAGCCTCATTGGTAGGAAGTCTTGCTCTCAACAGCTGTCAGGTTGGCTGGCAGTTCTAACAGTGCTAGCAGTGCCAGATCCCAGTAATGGGCACTATTGGAACTGTAAATAGGTCCATAAATGAAAAAAACATCAATCCCCGAGAGAGGTAAATTGGGCCATTGCACGGAGGGATCAGGGAATTGAAAGGGCTTTTGATTTGGGCTTAATGTACAGATTTTATTTGCCGGTTTTAAGACCTTGTTTGGTGGGGGTTCGGGTTGAGGGAATGTCTTGTGATGTTCGACAGATACCAGTTGTGTTCATAATTTGGTCTTCCCTATCGTGGGCCTGTGCCAACTGTATTTTAGTTGCTTAACATTTGAGTCAAATAGTTTGTTGACAAGCTCAAATGTGCATTAATTTCCTTTCTAAAAGTGGCAATCTATCAATTTTAGAGTTTCTTGCATTTGTCAGTGCAGCAGTCATTATATCTCACACTTGACCTGTGCCATGTAGATGGTGGACAGGCTTTGAAGAGTCAGGAGGTGAGTTACCCACCAGAGAATTCCTGGTCTCTGATCTGCTCTTGTAGCCACTTTATTTATTACTGGTCCAGTTAAGTTTCTGGTATATGGTTAAACCCACCAGCACTCAGTGTTGATAGTGGGGGACAATGTCCCTTTAAACTATGGGGAAGTTCCACAAATGCCAGTTGATGTGCTGACACAATTTAGTCATGTTAATGATGTCAAGACAGTTAAATTCTGTTTTCTTGGAGAAGGTCATTACCTAATAGTTCTGTGGCACAAACCTATCACTTTATCAGCCCAAGCCTGAACACCATCTTGCACAGATTAATGTGTTCCCCAGTTGCATCAACTTGTTCACATTTATAAATATTGTAGTATTCCTTATAGAACTTCAGTCTTTGTATTTCAACCTTTAGTATAAGTTATTTTAATCTTGTATTGCTATCATTGTTACTGAGGACATTACTTCTGTGACAATCATATTTTTGTGATATTTCTGGTTACTGCACTTTCCAAAGTGAACCAGCGATCTATGCATATTTGACCCACTTGCACATTTTTTCATCACAAATTACGCATCATTCTTTCAAAACTGTTAAGCTCGTTGAATTGCTAGTAAATAAAATGGTAGTAAATTCAATATCTTCACCCATTGCATTTAAATATGTATCACCACATTTGTTGCATTTTTGTGAAAGGTCTGACATGAACAGTCAAAGAATACAGCTTTACCTGCATATTAACTGTTGCAATTCAGCTACTAGGTCACAGCTATCCCTTTGTACCTCAGAGTTCTGTAATCTTTTTCCACATAAGTAATATTCTTCATTTCTGTTCTTCTTGCCAAAGTGGACAAGTTCACATTTTCTTATTTTATATTTAGTCTGCCAAATCTTTGCCACTCATTTAACCTATCTATATTACTTTGCAGAGATTTACTACCTGCTTTCTATTTGTGTCTTCAGCAAATTTAGCAGCCATATATTTGGTCACTTCATCCACATTATGGAGGAAAATTGTAAAAATTTGAGGTCCCAGAACTGAACCCTGTGGCAAACCACGTGACATGTCCTGCCGATCTGAACAATTATACATTTATGCCTCCTGTCTGTTTCCTGTCAGGTAACAAATTCTCTATCCACCCTAACATGTCACCCTGTACACCTGAGCTCTTATTTTGTATAGTTACCATTGATGTGTTACATTGCCAAATGCCTTCTGGAAATCTAATTGCAACACATCCATAGGCTCCCTTTTAATCAAATTGCTTATTAATTCCTCAAAGAATTCCAATAACTTGGTCAAACATGATTTCTCCTTCACAACACAATGTTGACTTTGTCTGTTTGGGTTGAGATTTTCTCCCTTTGCTTTTCTTTAAGTTCTGCCCATCTTCTGATCTGCGATTCATCTTTGTCAAATTATATTCTTGTATTTTCAATTTGATTGTATTTTTATCTTCCTTTCTTAGCCCCAGGTGGTGCTTCCTTCCCTCATCTTTCTCAATAGAATGCATCTTTTTTGAGTACTTTGCAAAATCCCCTTAAAAACCTGCTGATGTATTTCTACTGACCTATCTTTTAACTGAATTTCCCACTTTAGCCAGTTTTGTCTTCATGTACAGATACTTGCCCACATTTAAGTTAATTTTAACTGGTCTTGGATCCACTCTCCTTTCATTCAAATTGTACTTGATATTATATTTTGATCATTTGCTGCCTGGGTGGGGGCTTCACCATAAGGTCATTAATTAATGCTGTTTCATTGCACTTTATCAAATCCAGTACAGCCTGCCCTCTAATTAGCTCTAGAATGTCCCTAAAACATCCATGATCTCATCCTTTACCTGTCTAATTCATCCAAAATAAAATCACCCAGAATTATCACTTTACCTTTCTCACAAGCCCCTATTATCTCTCACTGTATTCCTACAGTCTGCTAATTTTTAGGGAGGCTATAAATGATTCTATAAGTGAATTATTACTTTTAGTATTACTAAGATCATCTCTGTCTATTGCACCAAACAAAGCTGCCCATCCAGTTTTATGGTAGCTTCCTCTACTTCCTTAATGTGATGTATCCTTGATTATTCAGGTCCTAGTCTTTTCCACCTTGTGGTATTTCTCTGTGATGGCTGTCAGATCTCATATGTTTATTTCTAGTTGTGCTGTCAATTCATCTGTCTTGTTATGTACATTCATCTACAGAGCCTTTAGTTCTGTCATTTCAACTATTCTTTTAACCTCTAGCCTTACCTAGCGATGCATGTTTACGTTTGTTCATTTTATTCCTTCCTGTCCCACTCTGATCATTATTTCTGTTACAGCTTCCTTGCTCTCTTGCCTTATCTATTTAATTATCATGTCTCCCTAAACATTTTTTTAATATTTGTTCCTCAAATGTGGTTGTTACAAGCAAGGCCAATGTTTATTGCTCATTCGTAACTCTCCAGAAGGCAGTTCATAGTCAACCACATTGTTGTGGATCTGGAGACACATAGGCCAGACTGGACAAGAACAGCAGATTTCCTTTTCGAAATGACATTGGTTCATTAATGGGGTTTTACAACAATTAACAGTGATTACATGGTCGCCATTAGGGTAGCTTTAAATTCAAGTGTGCACTAATGTATGTAGTATTACAGTGTACATAATGCATGTAGTTTTAGTTCTCTGTTTATCCTCTTGCTTTTGAAAATCAAGAACCATTTATTTGAAGAGTGGACTTAGTTGGTGAGCTCGGAAAAAAGGAACGCATCAACTTCCAGTTCTCTCTCAAATTTTCCAAATGCAAGTTGCATTTATTTTACATTTTTTCAGAAAGGACAAGGTAAGAAAGCAATTATTATAATTATTTTAGATAGCTTGAGAAGATTGAGTACGTCACCTTTGCTTGACAACAGAGGCTGGTTCGATAGCAGCTGTTTTAGCCAACTTCAGATTTAATATCTCTGCACGGATATGACACTAAACCATGTTGGTTTTCAGGCACAGCAGAGATGAATTATCACGTCTGTTCTCCTTCAGATTTGGGCTTGTACTTGAAAGCCCCTACATGCTTCAAGACTTCTGGGTAATTTTATGCTGCTTTATAGCACAGAGTTGCTATTGCTGTTATATTCTGGTGCCATCATTGATGAAAATAAACTTCATAAAGTGGTGGGATTTTGCATGCAACATGTGCATTCAAATTCACAAGCCAATACCTCTGCAGAATGTAATCACTGCTTTTATGCCTCAGTGCCTATGTTCTATCATGTCTGACATGGTTTTGCTTTGGTTTTTTGTAACACCTACATTTTATTCATGATTTTTTTAAAAAGATTCTCAGTTTCTTCTGATTCTACAGTTCTATTTCCTATCAGTTTTGCATAAATAGAGCTTATATTCCGGAGAACCCAGCCCACTCACGCATAGTAAGGCAGTCTTTCTGGAAACGACACTTCATGTTCCCGAATCTTGCACAAGCGCAGTAACTGTTTATAGCCACTTGAGTGCAGGAAAGCTTTGCTGTAAAATTAGAGTGAGGTTGTGAGATGAGCCTTAAATCGTTGTGACTGAGAAAACCTAGTAGAGTTGACATATCTGGAACTGCTTACTAAATGTAACACCAAATAGCCATGTTGGTTGCAGTTGTTTTATTGAGTCTTGATTTTGTTTTGTTTTTAATTGCACAGAAAGTATTTTAAGGAATATTAAACCCAAAAGTGAATGCAAATCAACCATGATTTAATTGAATGGCTGACCAGGCTCCAGGAGGTGATTGCTTACTGCTATCCAATGTTTGTTTTATTTTGTGCATGCTAGTTCAGTGGAAATTTCAGATCCTGAATTTATCTAGTCTGGATCCAAGTAGATTAGTAGAGTCTGATTCTTTACCACCAATCAGAAAAAATATCGTACTGGTGAGGGAACCTCTTGCATTAAATTCGAGCTCTGAAAACGTTCTTACATTTGATTTATATTTCTTTGTACTTGTTTTACATTTGATAAAGCATGACATCATCCTGATCCATTCCTTGTAATCTATGCTTTCTGATGGATCAATGGGTATCTCCAAATATCTTGAAATAATATGGTTCTTGTATGTTTAAGAGGGAGCACAAATGGCCATTTAGATACACAAGTCAGATAAATCATTAAGGCAGGATCCTTCCACATTAACAACTGGCTGAACCAAAAAAAAACTGAAGCTTATGTACTGAATTAATATATATTTTTAAAGCAACACACTCATCAAGCTATTTCTACAGGGTAGTAACTGGAAGAGCAACTAAAACATGCAACAAAAACCATTGAGTGCGATTTGCTTTGGTTTCAGACATCTTCACTTTATCTCTAAGGTTCAGATAGAAATGACTGAAAGGGAAAAAGGTCCATCCTCTCTTGTTAGTTTTGAAAGTCACGAGTTAATTGAGATCTATCATTTTCAGTGCATCTACCTAAACATTAATTAACGAAAATGTCACTGGGCTCAAAAGGCTCGGCTTTGGATAGCCAGGATATAATGGAAATTCCAGTTGCTATGTATCTCAGAAATGTTTTTCCAGTATTTAAAGGTACTACATTTTAGGAAGAGGTTAATTAATGCTTAGTAGTATGGGGGAATACAGCAATCTATACGAACATAAAGTATGCGCTTGAATAGGTGTATTTACATAGATAAGCATTTAATACCCAAATTCTAATTGAAAAGTTAGATTTTGGTTTGCAATACAGTGACTACAGAAAATGTGACTTTAGTTTGTACTGCCAATAGGATTAAATTCCTCTTCAGTGTTACATCCTCCACCTTACTGAGCACAAAGAGAGAAAACTTCCAGTTCATTATTTTATAAAAGTGATTTTGATGTAGCAAAAATGATATAACTGTGTGAATGAGATTTACTTAATAAATGTGTGAGGTCAGTGTTTCAAATTATTTGGACAACTAGTAGAATTTTCTGGTGACTTGCAATTTATATTTGCAAATATAAAGACATAGAAGATAAGTTATTTTTCTTCAAAATCTCTTAATTTATTATTTTATTTAAACTTTTAAATTCTTAGTTAACTTCCTTGCAACATTATATTTTATGCTTGTAGCTCACTAGCAAAAATCGGAACGGAATATTAGTTACCAGTAACTTTGCTAGCTGCTAGTCTTATTTTGAACACTGTACGATATTGTATCTGCATAGGAATTGTAATGTAAGTTTTAAAAAAGGTTTTCCCCATTGTTATGGTCATGCAATTACTCATGCAGTTCTGAATTTTAAATTGGCACATATTGATAATTTAAATTTCTGATGCCTTTGCATCTAATGTAAGTCAAGTTATAATACATAGGCATGTATAAAGTATCATCTGGGACTAGCTAATGACAATAATTAAGTTTGCTTGATGCCTGAATTCATAAAGGCATTCATAAAAGCTAGTTTTTTGGTGTGGTTTCTTTACTTATTCCAGTTCAGTTACAACCGAGGTGAGAGATACAGATTCCACATTCTTCCATCAAGCTGCAAAAAATAACTGTAGAAAACTTAAGCTATAATACAAACCTTGTCTAATTTTCTAATATTTTTAATGTACTACAGTGCACATTTTCAAACTAGTTTTTTAGAAATTGTTTGTTGCTGTGTGAAGTTAGTGTGTACATTTGGATATTTTGTAAATAAAATTTTGCTTGTTCAGCAACTAAAGGCTATTTGTTTCATAATTCTTCATTCTAATATCAGTTGATCAAGTTAAGTGTCAAGGTTAAGCAACTGTTTCTCTGCATTGAGTTCATTTTTACTTACTAATTAGCAGTTTAACTTTGAGCAGTGGGACAAATTGAGCCAAAAAGATTGGCCCAAGGAGACAGGATGCATGTTGGGATTCCACGGAAGTCTTTACATGCTGACTTCTGTGGAAATTACCTGGGAGGTTCAACCTCAGGTTCCCCTGTTCTTGGGATGCTCTGAGTTAGAGTTAGATTCAATGCCATAGATCATAACTGAGTAGTTACCAAGGAAATCACTCAAACTGGTTCCCCCAACTACCTCCCAACCTGATTATCCTTAACTGCCTGAACCCTGTGGCCCCTCCAATTGGACCCAACCCCGCTACCCCTCCTGACCTTCCTAATACCCATCTGTCCTGCTGACCAGATGTGGCTATCAACTACCTCGTTGCTCCAATTTCCTCTCACAGTCCAAAAATGTGCAGGTTAGGTTGATTGCCCATGCTAAATTGCCCATAGTGTCCAGGGATGTGTAGGCTAGGTGGATTAGCCTTGGGAAATGTGGGGTATGGGGATGGGGGAATGTGGGTCTGGGTGGGACGCTCTTTGGAGGTTTGGTACAGAGTTGATAGGCCGAATGACCTCTATCTGCACTGTAGGGGATCTATGATTCCAAGATTCACCACCCAATTATCTTCACAATTCAATCTAACAGGCCTCCCTGATCCACCCTACCCAACTTCACACTTACCTCACCCCCTCTATCCAGTTACCTAATGCATCAACCTACTTCACCATCCTACCCATTCACTCATTTATTCCTTCGTCCTTCACTAACATACACATTGCATGTTTAAACTTAACCTTATGGCAACTGTACGAAAAGAGGGAGGGAGTGTTATTCCTTTTCTTGACTGCAACAATATGTCCCAATGGACACTGCACTCCACATTTTTGGAAAAGCCTGGCTCAGGAGACCCAGCAAGAAATGCAAAGAAAGGTTCAAGAAATTTGATGATTGCTGCTCCATGGAAGATCTGAGCCATAATAAATACATCTGTAAACACCTAGATGCACAAATAACAACAACTTGCATCAAGGTTCTTAGATTCAACACCAAGATACATAAGGAGATAAGAGGGCAAATGGCAAAAAAAAACTTGATCAAAGGGGTAAGTTTTAGAGAACTTAGAAAGGATAAAAGTTTTAGGGATGGTGTTCCAGAGCCTCAGAAGTTCAAGGCAAAACCTCAGATGTTGAAGCCATTAAAACTAAAGATGTGCTAAAGGCCAGATGTCCTGGAAAGAAGTTGGGCTAGAGAAGCTGCAGAAGTGGGAAAGGGAAAAAATGTGGAAGGACTTGACAATATGAATGAGAATTTTAAAATCAATACATTGCTCAGCTGGAAGCCAATGTAGGTCTTTGGGCACTGGATGTCATGGATGAACAGGACAAGGTACAGGTAACAGAGATTTGGATGAATAGGATCATTTTCAGAATTATTGCTAAGGGGCAGAATGTTAATTTTAGAAAAAGCCAACCAAAGAAACGGTTTCCAGAGGTAACTGAAGAACCAAGAGAAGACATTGCAATTGATAGTTGCTCGCATTGGTGTTCATAATACCTAAGCTGATCTAATCATCAGCTTTGGATAGCCAGTTATCAGAGGAAAGAAACCTGACATTTGAAGTTACCTTTTACAACTAAATATAATGAAATATATAGTCATGTGTTTATAAAGACAAATTCCAAATCCTAAATAAACTATACGGCTGTAAAGTCTACATATGACTGTAAAGATTACATTCTATTTATTGAATGTCTATGTGAGTGCAAGTATCCACCAGTTTAATGATATTTTTAATTTGGATACCATTCAAAATTAGTCAGGAGTAGTATAATTTTGTATGAATGCTGGAAATTTGGAACAAACAGAATGCTGGAAAATTTCAGCAGAAATAATAGCATTGTGGAGAGAAGAAAGCAGTCAACATTGCGAGTCTGATATGACTTCTTCAAAACTGTACACTTGAACCTTTAACTCTGTTTCTCTCTCCACAGATGCTGACAAGATCTGCTGAATTTCTCATTAATTTTAAGTGTATTTTGTGTAGTTCAAAAATAAGGAAAAGCTATTTGGATAATTCTGCATGGAATGTACATACATTATCATTTTTTCTATCCATGGATTCTGGTTTCTTTCAAATTGTTGACTTGTGTCTTTACAGAATTATAGCTATTGGATTAAAAAGCTTGTGTAAGTTAAAATGTTTCATTCAGTAGTTGATTCTCCAAATCTTAAAAATTGAGTTCCCTCTGATTTGTTTTATATCAAGTATATTTCTTTAAGTAATTTTTTGAGTGCCTAATGTTAAGATTCATGATTTTCTAAGAAAAAAAAGTGAAGAACCCTGTGACATCTACACAAGTTTGCAAACATGTAAATTAATATTGAAAAGTTGTACAAAGAAAGCAAACAAGTTAAAGACTTTCTAGTTTTCACAGGAGATCATGTATTATTTTAAATATCCTGACCACTTTTATAACTTAAAATATTTGTCTTTTTTGCACATGGTAACAGAGAGTCTGATGAAGCTTACCTTCTGTGATGTGGAATAGAATGAGACCAATAATTAGTCTTTCTATCAGGGTGAAGTTTAAACCTAAGATTCTGAGGTGAAGGAACTGTGATGTTTTGTCAAGGTTCGTCCTGAGCAGCTCTGTGACATGGGACTCTGTGCCCTATGGTCTGTTTCCTGGGACGTGCACTGAGACAGACATCAGCTGTGCCTGAAGGACCATCAACGCAGTGAAAGACACTCTTTGGTCTGTCTGAAACTTGCTGGTCTTCCAGTTGAAAGAGTTGACCCTGACTGAGTGTTGCAGGCTGGAACATTCCAAGGCCCAGGACTACGTACCACGGAACGTCATCAAGCTTGGGGCAGCTACCGCCATGGTACAGTGGAGAAAGAGCATTGTGTAAGGTCCTTCTGCCAAAGCAAAGCAGGGGGTCCATTCAGTAACCAGAGCCTGCTGACGCCTCAGCTAAATGCCGAGAGGTTAATTGTAAATATAGAGAAAGGCGAACGCCAATGTTTATATTATCCTCTGTAAGTAAAGACAGTATAGATTGAAATGGCTACATTAACTGTGTATGTACATAAAGATTTCCTTCGATGAATAAAGTATATTTTTGCAATAAACAAAATAAACTGTGATATAATGGGCAAAATACCATCTAATATTGTCGGGACAATACAAATCTGATATAGTATTATCTAGTTAGATCATTCCTTACAGTAATCTAGTAATTATAATTAATTATTCCTAAAGGAATACTACAAGATTGAAGTAGATTTGTTTATTTTATCAATTAAAGTGGTACAGTTATTTTGATTACTACCTGTCAGTAACTGCATTTTTTAAAAAATTGCACTTAAAAAGCCTCTTCCAGTCCTTAGGGCATCCTTAACCACTTCACCATTTTATTGGCATATGCAGCAACTGAGTTGTGCATTTATAAGAAAGCATCAAAAGCAAGAAGACAAATGACTATTAAACTGCTGGAGCTTTTAGTAGAGCAGTAGCCGTCACCCAATACTCTGGGGAAATTCTATAAAGGGAAAAATGCCATGGATCTTTTATAGCCACCTGACAAAGCAGATAGTAAATTGAGCTGATAGGGGAGGGACCTGCCTCACTAAATAGTTGAAATCAGCCTATCTCACTACCAGAAATTGGTGTAGCCAAAACTTGTATGAACATAAACAGAAATTGCTGGAGAAATTCAGCACGTCAGGCAGCATCTGTGGAGAGAAAATAGAGTTAATGTTTCTGGCCAGAGGCTCTTCAGGACTGTACTGATGACAAGTCACTGGACTTGAATCGTTAACTCTGTTTTCTCTCCACAGATGCTGCCTGACCTGCTGAGTTTCTCCAGAAATTTCTGTTTTGTTTCAGATCTCCAGCATCTGCAGTTTTTTGTTTTACTTGTATAAGTATAACCCTGATTTGGTTGCCTTCCTAAAAGCAGGACCTGTACGTTGTTTGACCTCACTGGAATTTTCTACCATGGAGTACAATTGAATGAGAACCCCACTGGAGTGAAGTGCCATTAGCTTTACCCTGCTTAATATCACATGCAGCAAGTCAAGTTGGGTGACAACTGGTATCTGTGATGCTTGTGGTCTTGGCAAGAGACCAAGATGGATCATTCACTCAGCACTTCTGGTTGATGGTCGTTGCAAGTGCTTCAATCTTGTCTTTTATACTAAAGTATTAGGCGTGTTTGTGGAGCCTACACTACTGGTTAGTTGCTTAATTGTTCATTGTCATTCATAAATTGATGTTATAGGACTGCAAAGTTTTGATCTGACCTGTTGTTTATGAAATCAATTTGCTTTCTTTATCGTGGACTGCTTCCGCTGTTTAGTATGTTCTGTGTTGTAGCTTTAGGTTTGAGCACAGGAGAAGGGAACTGCCTCAGAGCTAAGTGATGGGCAGCAGAGTTTTTCTTGACATCAACTTTATGGAGGATAGAAATGTGTAAGATCAGCCAGAAGTACATTGGAATAGTCATCATCAGCTGAGGGAGAGTGGTAGGTGGTAGTCAGCAGGAAGGTTACTTGCCAGTGTTTGATCTGATGCCATGAGACTTTGTAGTGTCCAGTGTAAATGTTGATTTGGGGTGATGGTGTCATAATAGTGAGCTCGCAGGACCATGGCAGCTGACAGAATTTAAATTCGATTAATAAAATTTGAAATTGAAAGCTAGTCTCAGGAATGGTAACTGTTAAACTATCACTGATTGTCTCAAAACACGCAAAAGCTTCACTAATATCCTTTAAGGAAGGAAATCTGCTGTTTATAACTTATCTAGCCAAATGTAACACCAGATCCACACCAATGTGGTTATTTTTAATTGGGTTGTGAAATGCTGTAGTAAACTATTTAGTTCTAGGGTAATTAGAGG